AAAACCGGTACATGTAGATTTTCTTGTAACGATCTAAAACAAATTACAAATATCAAAAATATATATAGAACATTAGACCTTTTCATTAAACATTTGCGCATGCGACTGCGGATTTATGGGGTTTTATTTATTTATTTGGGTTTCTCCCCGGCAGAGGCAAAGGCAAAGGTCAGCGCTCGATCACGCGTCCCTAATAAATCGAAGCCGCCGGAAGCGGGTCGCCGGAAGAAAACGGCATGCCGAAACCGATAAGGCGTCGCGTGGCGAACGCCACGGTCGACGAACGGTATCGTGGTGATACGAGCGACGCATCGATCATTTCGATTGTTTTCCGGCCGACGAGAGAACAAACGTGGAAGATCCTCGCACGCGCGTTCTTTGCCCGGCGATTTCTTCGGATCGGCCGCCGGCCGATAGAATCGATTCTCACCGATCCCGGCCACCGATACGCTCGCCTTTCCTCGCCATTTCTTCTGCTCCCACGATTACTTGGCGAACAGGTACACGTCACCGGCGCGGCGCGAGGATTTTCGTTCACGAACCCGGTGAGAAAGCATTGTCTCCGGCACTTTCAGCGTCCGCTCCGTCAGATCGTTCGTGTTTCTATTCGAATCGGATCGTGTAGTTTCGATCGTTAATCCTGGTATCGTCTATTGGGACTATTAATCTGGGATCTGGAATTAATTCGGCTCTCTCGAGACACGTGCAAGTGTTACGTGGAGTAATGAAGGAAATTACTCTCACGTTGATCCAACTAATGGAGCCGAAATGGTTTGTTGCACATGGAAAAAATTAATCTTAAATCAAGATAGATAAATATTCTCATGAGCAAGAATATTATAATCTTCTTAGAAAAATTTGTCTTGATTTAATTGAAATTTGTATTGGTGCAAATACTTTTACATAAGCAAGAATGTTATAATCTTCATATGGAAGATTTTTTTAGTCTTGAGCAAATATTTGCTCAACTCAAGACTAATCAATATAAATTCAATCAAATCAAAATTTAAAGTTTTTAAGAAGATTATAATATTCTTGCTTATGTATGAGAATGTCTTGATGAGACGAGATCTCATGAAGCAGATCTTGTTCGTAACGTGCGACAACGGCACACTTTTCTTCCTCGCGTTCGCCTCGGAATTTACCGAACGCCAGCTACCCCTTCCTCCCTACGATGGTTCGCCATTGTGCGGTTAACAATGGATTTTATATGAGCTCCCTAATGTATGCACGGCCCGCATCCACGGTTAGCAGCTCGCCATGGGTACGTTTTCACTTTGTGCCGCGGCACGTTTTCCCTTCCCGCTCGAAGAATGCGCAACCTGAAACTTCCGGGAGAACTGGAATCACCTGTAACGCGTACCGGATTTGCACGAAAAGTATACTCGGACGTATACCTTTTTCTCTTCTCTCGTTTTCCTTTTCCCTCCTTCAATTCCCTCGGTCGCCGTATCGAAAGTCAAACGTGATT